TGAATGATATAAACAGTGTTGCTTGGTTGGGCAAGAAAATAATCAGGCATTTGGTATTGTTTGGCATTCCTATTGTAACAAGTGCTAACAAAATAAAAGAAAGGTACCTGCAGGAATGTAGACTTGGCCACAAGAATTAAAAGCACTGGGAATTCAAGATTTTTAAATAGCAGTTAGGTTAATTTATTTACTAAAATAATAACTGAGACCAATTCTTAGACCCTTTTATTTAATCCAAAGAATCAATTTTTCAGGGATGTATGGCTTTCTCCTCCCCAAACCCCAATTCCACTTATGCATTGTAATATATATGTTGAATTAACCCAATCAGTAAGGTTAACTTTATCAATCACATTAACTTGCTATGTTCTATTGCATGACTACCTTTGGGTTTTATTGTAAAACTGTAAAATGAAAGGATAATTTGCATAACAACCTCTCTTTAGGCTTCTCTGTTTACAATATAAATTCTGTCAATAAACCAAATACCCTGTGCTTCAATGTAATTGTATCCTGTTTCCCAGTTTAAACATATGCCTGATAAACTTTCATTTAGTGACACATCCAATATAGTTGTAATCTTTTCCATTTCAACATAATAGAAGATGCCATGCTATAATATACTGTTGAAAGTTCAGTGATTTTTCTGCCTCTTATCTAAATATTCCTCAATTTAGATTCTCCTGAATATTTCTTTATGTTGGTAAGCTTGTTCATGTAGCCATCTGTTTAACAGAGAGAAGAATGGAGATATCAGCAAATCAAGATTTTTGGTAACCAGTATTGTAGCTACATCACCATCCAGTGGACAATGATGGATTTCTTGGCTCTTTAGAGTTTTAGTTGTTTTATAGATTTGTTTCCCCATATGTACTGCTTTTAAAAGTGTTAAACTTTGAGGAGTATTAACGAGACTGAGAAACTGCTTATGTTCCCTGAAACTCATTTGCCCTGTTTAGGGATAATCTAGATTGGGACACATGAAGGTGCTTCTACGTTCACTGACTATATTGGTAGGCTGGGAGATTGGATTGCTTTAGCTGAATTGGAGAAATACTCTCCAATACACTTGGCTAATGTCATTTGTTGCCTTTGAATAATGTACATAAGCTGATTAACTCATATGACAGCCAATTGTCCATTCATTAAAAAGGTCACTGGGTCTATTGGTCTACTCTAGTCAGTATGACTATATTAGACTATATTCCCTTGAAAAATAATAGGATCAGAAAATGAATATGCTTTCTTACAAAAATTAATTGGGATTTTAGCATTTGAGTTTGGATTATCAGCCATATACATACATACATACATACATACATACATACATACATACATACATACATACATACATACATACATAC